AAAAATGATATTAATTAATTTCTTACCCGTTTTTCTGATCCACACCTCCATTGAGTACATGGAATACGGTTCTACGAAAAAATGATATTAATTAATTTCTTACCCGTTTTTCTGATCCACACCTCCATTGAGTACATGGAATACGGTTCTACGAAAAAATGATATTAATTAATTTCTTACCCGTTTTTCTGATCCACACCTCCATTGAGTACATGGAATACGGTTCTACGAAAAAATGATATTAATTAATGTCTTACCCGTTTTTCTGATCCACACCTACACTGAGCACATGGAATACGGTTCTACGAAAAAATGATATTAATTAATTTCTTACCCGTTTTTCTGATCCACACCTCCATTGCCAAATAATAAAGATTTGGGTCACGATGTTTCATTCGGAATTTGTTTAGTAAGATGCGAACGACCTCTTTGCTCGTAGTATAAGGCCCAATGGAAAGTGTCTTGTATTCCACGTCAGCAGATAGCACTCGAGCATAGACTTTCACTACAATCTATGGACAATCAAAATACGCGAACTGTTATAATCAATGCAAAGGAAAAAGGACGAATTTATGTTATTTTCTGCTTTATATTGAGAATCGTATTACGGTGATAATTTAAATTAATTTCGATGTATTAACTCGTAAACTAATCACTTTACGTTGTTTATCAACTATAACTAAACTAACCAAACTATTTTCACTAAAGATTATAACGTTTAGATATATTCTACCATTAATTAAAGTTTTGTTTTCATTGCGTCTCCAAGTTCTTCTTAATGACCAATGTCGATGTATTCGTCATTTTCACAAGCTCTCTCTCTCTCTCATGTTCGTGTTGCATTTTGTATGTAAAATTATTGTTTCTTATAAACTGTATGTATTAAAAATACGTGGATTTATTAGAGTTTCTTTTCTATTAGTCGATCAGTTTCGACACCATCAGTCCAACTTAAATATCTTGTATCTACCCAAACTCCAGTAGCAATTCCTAAATTCTTAATTAAAATGATAACTTATTTATAACTAATTATAAACCAAATATAGTCAAAACGGAACACATCCACTACGTAGAATCCTATGGGTCTCTGACCTGGTCGGTCAGTGTCATAAGGTCTCGTTCTAGTTGAATAAACCCGCCCCCTCCCCCCTGTGGCACAGCGGTATATCTGCGGACTTACAACGTTAGAAACAGGGTTTCGATACCCGTGGTGGGATGAGCACAGATAGCCCATTGTGTAGCTTTGTGCTTAACATCAAACAAGCCTATTTTGTTTATTTGTTTGTAGTTATGCACAAAGCTACACAATGGGCTATCTGTGCTCATCCCACCACGGGTAACGAAACCCAGCTTCCAACGTTGAA